CAAGACAAAATGTGTGTGTATCCCGGTCTGTGTTGTGTGTGATTTGTTTGTATGTACGCATGCAACTTTATGCAAATGTGAATGTGGCTGTGTATATACATGGACTAGCAGGTTTCTGTGTGTGTGTGTGTGTGTGTGTGTGTGTGTGTGCAGAGCAGGGTGACTGTCCTCAGGGCAGCTCTCCACACCAGAACAGAGCAAGAGCAGCTGACCAGCTGTCCCCCTCGCAGCTAGCAGCATGTCTTCTATCTATTTTCTCTATTTCTATCTCTATTCATCCTTCCCGCTTCACTCTCTCTTTTTCTTTTCTCCAGCTCTTTCTCTCACTCTTTTATTCTTCCTCTCCCTTGCTTGCTCCTATTGCGCTCCAACTCTCTCACACTCGCTCTTGCCATGCCTCTCTTTTGAACTAATTCCTCCCTCTGTTCCTCATTGCACACTGGACACAGTGTCACACCCACCCGCTCATTTTCATCATCAGCTCCCTTTCATCTGCCTGTTCCCTCCTTTTTTTGCCTTCACTGCCTCTCCCCCTCTTGTGCCCTCCTTCGCTTGCTGCTTCTCCCATTCCACGCCTCAGTAATGTCATTGTTAAGGTATGTCTCTCTTTTAACCTCATCTAAGTTTCATCTCCTCCCTCCTGTCTCTCTCCACTTCCCATTACCTTGTTCTTTGACTTTGTTCAATAACTTCTTCCTGTCAACCTCTTTTCTCTCATCAAACCAGCTGTCTTTTGTAACCACACAAAAACGTGTCTTCCTGTTGTCAGTGTAACCATCACATGACCTGAGTATTTTTTTCCTTGTTTTCTCTCTCTCTCTCTCGTCTCTCTCTCTCTCTCTCTCTCAATCTTCTTTCTCTCTCTCGCCTCTCTTTATGTCAAATATGCCAGCCTTAGACTTTACATCTTACCACTTTTATCCCTTAGCTCATCTCTTACACTGTATTAAATATATATCTGCCTCTAAAATGAGCACAAAGAAAGAGGAGAGGAGTGCAAGGAAGATAAGGAGATCATTCTTTTGTCAGAGAGGAAACATGAGGATTTGGCTGCTGTCTTCATTAGGTAAAGGGCTCAGAACTTGCTCAGTGTATTTTCATCCTAATCAGCCGCGCTCATGCTTCTCACTGCACTCTAACTTGTCCAGCTACAGCCTATTTTAAGCCACAGCGCATCGATGCACATAGTAGTATATAATGTAGTATATAAAAATGTATATAATACATGTATAGTGATGAGAATAGTTGCTGTATGTTCGATATTGTTCCCTTGCAGCATATTTAAAAATCATTACCATGTTTTCCTTCCCTAAATGAGAAATTGTTTTCTGATATTTTCAGCCTGTTCTCTCCAGAAATGAGGTCAGAGAAATTGCACTGAAAGACAATAAAGTGATCATAAGCTGGTGCAAAACTTTGCATACGGTGCATTTATATCTGCATTGGAGGCAAGTTAGCCAGTCAGAGCGGATGAATAAGAAAAGTGGTAGACCATGGTTGTATTGGTTGTATGAACCTACATGTTTATTTACTACTGTAATACAAGTTTACCTCTAATTTCAAAACCTACAGTAAAGACAGGCAGACAAAGGAGGAAAAGAGATAATAGTGGTTACCATGCAAGCTTACAGCCATGCTAGCAGCTCTGTAAGGTGTACTTTGAGCTAAATGTTAACTTTAGCAACATGCTCATAATCACTATACGAACATGTGATGTTTTGCAGGTAAATGTTTATTATCACCAACTTAGTTTAGCATGCTAACATTTGCTAATTAGCATAAACACAAAGTCAGCAGTGCTTTTTGCTGGGAATGTTGTTAGTTTTGTAGGCATGTGTTCGAGTATCTAGTATTGGATAAGTATAAATGTTGACTTATGGCACTAGACTAAAAGTCATCATATCATGTAAAAAATAAAATCAAAGATCCAGTCTGTAACCTTCTGCATATTGTCTGTATTTGTCTGCATACAAACACAGCACTGCCTTTGAAAGCACTGTATTTTAATTGTCAATCTTATTTTAGCACTAAAGAAAAAGTTTTCATTGTCAAAGTAAATAGGATTTGTCTTCTGGGGACCATAAGGTTTTGTACAACTTTCAATAGATCCAACAGTTGCCGGGCTATTTCAGTCTGGAATAAAATGATGGACCCACCAACAGACCAGCTTTCACTTTAGACATTCATTTTAAATGCTTTTTCCATTGAAAGGCAATAATTATTATTATTATCAATATAAGGGTGCCATTCTGCTGTAGGTCTTAAATTTGTGTTTGAATCCCAACAGTAAAAACAGAAAGTGGTAAAACAGTTTTCCATAATAAAAATTTTAATTATGGAGATGAAGAACAGTTTTATGCAGCCATCAACCTCCTCTGAAAGATATTTTACTCCAACCTTTGAAGTGATAAACATTTTGTTTACATTCATACCAATTTGTCTACCATCCTCTCTCATTTTCTCTCTGCCTCTTCTTTCACTCCCCCCCATCTCTCTTGTTTTTGCTCCCAGTCTCTCTCTTTGTCTCTCTGTCTAACTGGCCTGAAGGATTAAATGTGTTTAATTAAGAGGTGATTATGTGTTGGCTGACACAGCAGGATCAGGATGGCTTCATCCGGTCGCCCCGACTGTCATCACCCTGTACCCCCATTCAGCCCCTGCAGTAAACACACATTCTCTCTCTTCCATATGTATGCTCTGTTTATTCCTTCTTTCACACCTCTCACACCCTTCCTTCTGTTATGTTCTTGACATTTTTTTATTATCTTTTTAACTACAGGATTAATTCCCCTTCTTTCTTCTTCTGTTTCTCTTGTAATGCTACCCTAAGTGGACAGACAAATAATTCTTCTTCCTTCTTACTTAAATGCTGGAATTCTACAGCAAGTATATGTCATTACATCTAATAAGATGTAAAACTTAATTTAAATATTAAAAAGAAAGTGCACACACTTGTACTTGTAGAACAGTTTGAGAGCTACAATAAATACTATCTTTAGATATAGGATGGAGTTAAAAACTGATTTATTTTTCTTCATGACAACATGCACATCCTCCTGATCCATCAGATTTAAAAAGCAATAACATAAAGATAATTATATCACATAAAATAAATATTAAAGACTAACAAAAATGCTGAAAAAGCTATGTGGTAATATATGGTGCTGAAAGTCTGATTAAACTCTGATGCTGAAGACTCCAAAAAAACACTTAGACAAAGAAATGTGAGAAAGCAGAGGAGGTAAAAGGGGGATTTAATAACAGGGGAATAAAAAAAATGGTAGGAGCAGGGGAAACAGAGTGCTAATAAGCCCAGTACGGGGTGAAACAGAGGCCAAAAACATGTTTATTGCATAGTTAGAAGATGAAAGTAAAAGGAGAAGCCTCAGCATTTGTCTGTGTGTGTGGATAAATACTGCATGTGTAATGGCGTGCATTTGTGACAGTGTGAAATATGAAAACTTTACACTAGAATAACTTATATATTATGAACCAGAACACATGAAACATTTGGTATCTTTTGTATCAGTGCGTGTAGGTTTGATAAAGTAGCATCTATAGTGAGTCATGTTTTTTTAATTTCATATGGCTTTATGCATGCTTTGGTGAGTAACCAGATATGAACTTAAGCAGTTTACAATAAAAACATTTACCTACAGTACCACACTGTAATACAGTCTGGATATTAGGAAACAACTGGACAAAAGATGGCTTTCATTTTTTCTGCCACGCCTGATAATGAGGACCAAATTGTGTGGCATGAGGGACTTTGTCCTTTAAAGCATGCCATCACTCTTGTCACAAATGAACCCTCAGGAAATATGCCCTCTAATTTGAGTCTCAATCCACTGAAGAAGCAAAGGGTTATACTGAGCATGTATATATATATGTGTGTGTGTGTGTGTGCATGTGTGTGTGTTCTGTATGTGGGTCTGTGTGTGTGTGGTCAAAACGTCTAGAAAGCGGAAGACAGATGGGTCACACAGCATTCCCTCTGTGGGTTTGGAGCAGGAACACGGCTAATTACATCTTAATTAAATATGACCTGTCTGTCCCTGTGCCTCCTTGCCCATGGATGACACATGTGTGCTTCTGTGCTCAGACAGAGAGACAGCAATAAAGAGTGAGACACATGCATGTACAGTAAGTGCATCACTATAAGTGGGTACAAGGGAAGAGTTCTGGTGTAGAAATTTAAACATACATGTCTATTTAATGGATCTGTGGTGTTTGTGTGTGTAAATAAAAAAATGTTCTTAGATTAAATGTTCTCACTCTCCCATGAGCTCAGTACTGATGTGTTGTGTGTATTTGTTTGTGAGGTTATTAGAGGGCATGAAGCTGTTTCACAGCGGTTAAGGCTTTGTCCCAGTCATCCAAATTAATGCACCCCCTTGTGTCTAAATTGTTCTCAATTTAGAGGGGTGCTGTAAGACAATGAATCCCAAGCAGGGGTCCTTGTACCCTAGGGGCTACTTCTGTAGGTACCAGGGAGTTTGTAGCTCAACTAATTTGAATTGAATTGAAAAAATTAGTTCCTTGTAACACCTGAACACCACATATTGATGTTGTGTGAATACTAAGTGAGCAGTAGCAATAAGTCTAAATGCTTAGCTAAAAATTATGGGATTGATAAATTGTTGAAATAGTTGTGTAAAAGTCATTGATTAACAGTTCTTGCTAACAGTTATGGATAACTGGCTAATAAATACTTGAACTATAGTTAAATTAGCTTAAAGTATGAGATAAACAGTTGAAATAGTTAGCTTAAAGTAGTGGATAAATTATTGAAATACAGTTAGCTAAAAATGGACTAATTGATAGTTTGCTAAAGTAGTGGATAAGCAATTGAAATTTGCTTGAAGTTATGGAGAAATTAATGGCAGTGTCGAGGAAGAGGTAGGCTGCATGAGTTCATCTAAGTGATATCACTGCTCTAAGACACGTAATATAATTTAACTGATCTCAAATGCACAACATGCACACAGACACACACTGACCATTGTTGGAGCGTAGTGCCCTGGCGGAGATGCCGTTGGTCCCTATAGGATGATGAACCCCGGTTCCATCCACCATTCCTGCCTCCCCTGGCTGCTTCAGAAGCTCTGTCAGAGTTCTGGAGGGAGGAAGGAAAGCACATATTTACACACTTCATTTAAGCACCCTGCATACAAACTGAAAAGTAAATAAAAACATGATAATAGGTAGAAAAAATATGCACACATTTATGTGGACAGATTATTAAAATCCATTATTAAAAATATCCAAACAGCCTTCATGTAAACAGTTCTACCTGAGGATGAAGACAAGATTGTTCACGTCTATTAAAACAAACCCAAACAGAAATGCTCAGAATTAAATTCAAGACATTGGAATTGAGGATAAAAAGGATGAGACTTTGGATGTTTGCGAAGTGGGAGCATCAATCATTTATAAAATATAAAGCAACTTCCCCTCCTGCCATTTTTTATTGTTTGATGCCTTTGAACAAGTTCTGATGCCACCTCAAAAACTGGAACAGAGGCAGGAAAAGGCCTTCCAACATGCAGATTTAACTCTTTAGGAGCAGAAAGAACTAAACCTGCAGCTATAAACAAGGATTTGTGTTTTGTATCAGACAATAGCTATTTGATTGATTTCATTCTACTTAAATATAACAAGAGAATCAATGGATAAACAGTTGGAATACGTAACTAACAGATAAATAGCTGAAACAGGTAGCTAAAAGTAAAAATTGTGAAATAGCTAAAAGTAAGCTGAGAAACATCAGGACAAACAAAAGGAAGCTCGGGCACCATCTCTTGAGGACTTCCTGTCAAATATTTAGTCAATTCTGCAATCTTTTACTATTCTACTATGTACTATACTATGTGTTATCATGTGTTGGAATCATTTATTTATTTAATGGAGGACCATTGTGGTGTGACCTATCATTGATTGTAAAGTTGATAAGTTGTCTTTCATTTCAAGCGGATGCATTCTTTTGTTTGTTCTGTGCAAAATGATGGGAGTAAAATTTAGTTTTCTAGTGTAGTGTGGTGGTTTCAGCAAAATGAACTGATTTGTCAAAGTGTCTCATAGAAAGCTGCATCACTATCATCTGTGTGATTGCAGTTTAATTGCTACAGCAAACCACCCTGGTGGAAAGAAAAATATATTGCATGCCCTTTTAGAGTGTCAGATACTATATTTCCTCCTGCCACCATTTGTTTTTAATAAGGTTACGAAAAAACACAGAAACTAAAATAACAACACCTGGCTGGTACATAGGTCTGCTCAGATTGCCCACTGTTGACGTCTAATAATTTAATTGTTCTTAAAAGCTAGAAACTATTTGCTCACCTCGACAAAAACAGGAGAATGCTCACCATCAATGTGTTGCCACTGACAAGGAAATTATAACAACATAGTCAACAAATCAACTGTGACCCGAGAGCCGCTATTGAGAGACCCTCAAATATTTCCTCACTGTTAATCTCATTGTTGAAACCTTCTAAAACACAGTAGAGAAATTGCTTTTTTATTAGCCTGCTGTGAAATGATTGCCTGTGGTCATGGGAGCAGTCAGCATAAAAACATGAACACCTGACCAATATAATGCAATTCAAACAGTGGACTTGCAATAGGTACTAAGTATAGATACATACAAAGTACCATTGTGAAGGTCATAATGTGGATTTTTATTTTTTTAATTTGTTCCCAAATGAAGGGACAAAATAGCATGAACACTAAAGGGAAATGTGTACACTCCTGGTCATGATATAGAATAATATACTGGCATTGCTATGACAACTTCCAAACACGTGATCAGCTGTTTTTGTCTATATAGTCTACTTGTCCACCAAATTTGAGCTCAATTCATGAGCCTTTGAGAAAACCAGCTGTGACAGAAACAAGCTCATTAACAGGGTAGAAACGTGGTCTCCTGACACTCACACAGTGCAATTAAAGATCCCCTCCAGACATGTATTTCGAAATATACAAATAATCTTTTTGGAACAATAATGTGTGATTTACTCTTTTTTTTTCTATTGGCAAAAAAGTGTAATTCCAGAAAGGGTTAGTTTTCCTGCTGGACACAAGATGTCTCCTACTTCACTGTAAAGACAATTCTCAGTGTGTGCACTGGTGGCTTCAAGTTTCTAAGTATAAGCTGCATACTGGACCAGTGACTACACGGTATGGCACAAAATCGAAAGTATCAGGGATACACCCATTGAGCATATAGGTGCAGATGCATCGGTCCTCCTCATCACTACAGGGTTCGTAATCATCATCTAAGACTGGATCTTCCTCCTCTACCTCTATCTCTCCACTGAGTTGATATTTCTTTCCGATCCCTTGACACTCTTCTCACTGCTACTGTGCCATTAAAGCAATCTTCAACTGCTCCAGTGGAGCAGCACAGCAACCAGCAGTCGTCTGTGGTTTTACTGGGCAGCTCCCTGCTGTGAATGTGAAACAGGGGTTGCAAAAAACCTCCCCTGTATAGAATTAACATCAGGATTTTTTGTTTTTTTAAATTAGACCTTTTGATGTTGATGAGTCATCTCTTCTGGCAAATAATGTGTGACTATGTACAAGCTCAGTAATGGAATTTATTCTTAACACCACAAAAGTTAAGGTTCCACAGATTTTATGGAACTTTAAAGATTTCCACGGGGAAGTGAGTGAACTGACGGGCATTCAGGGACAATAAATAAAATAAAACGTGTCCTTAAACTGGTTAGCAGGAACACATATTCTGTACCCACACATGCATCTCAATTGCCCTGTACATTTTCTGCTTGCTCGCCAATCCATTTCTCTCTCTCATCTCATCAATATCTGTCCACTTCCATTCCATTGCTTCATTTGTCTTCCACTCTCCTCCCCCCTCTCATTCTCAGTGGTAAGCAGGCTGAAGCTGTATCTCCGTCATTTTCTTGTCTCCCCTCCCACTTTCGTTGTGTCTCTTCCTTTCGTC